GTTAACATGTCCATAGATTGCGTTGTAATACTCGTAATTATTGTTATTTGAAATTAATAAAATGATCCTGATGATAAAGAACGTAGAAACAAATATAAAAAATACAGGTAAAGATGAATTTTAAACAAAAAATAAACCATTTTAATAGCTATTATCTTGTACAATTGTAATATACAAAATATAAGTTTCAACTAGGTAATCTATAAAAATATATAATTTATTTAAATAAATACATACATTGATAATACAATGAACAATACATCGCTGCTTCTTTCTAATACTGTATATATATATATATATATAAATAATTAATTGTTCACGTGACGTATAATTTTTTATTTATGTTAATTAATCAGCATAATGAGATTAATTTTTATTTTAACCCAATGCTTCGTGTGATCTGTAAAATTAATTCGTGGATTTAACAATGCGCATAATCAAAGTAACACTTTAAAATTTGACCTAATGTAAATATACCTGTTCATAAACAGTCCAAGCCATCGTAGTCATCAGTGTTCTTCTTAACATTCTGGGTACTATTCCTTTAAAATATCCTAATATTCCGTACTTTCTATATACAATATAAGTGGCACTATAAATAGTTTTAAACTCATTTGGATATAATTGCATCTTCGTCTTAATAACGTCCGGTGGATGCGTTACGATAGAAGCAAAAATTCCTGCTAAAATCCCACAGCTGAAGTTCACTGATACGGAAGTATTTTCATGAACGAATTCTAAAGAAACAGAAAGAATTCGTATTAATATTCAGTAAGAAACTTTTGAATGAATTTATCTTTGTTGTAAGTTACCTGTATGAGTGGCCATTTGTTTTAATTGTGTATAAAATAATAGATAAAGGCCACTGTATGGTGCATCACGAAGTAATGTTGGTACTAGGCCACTGGACAGACCTTTAATACCTTCTTGCTTATATATAAGCCTCAAAGCTTCCGAAACGCTATTGTATTTGTAAACGCCACTCTATAAACAAACATAGCTTAATAACATTAAGTATTTTGTGAAAACATGCATATTAATACATCATATTAAAATATTATTTAATGCATTTGTACCTCAAATCGTGTTTTAACAACAGTGATTGGTATTAATAAACCACCGGACATTGATCGTGCTGTAATTCCTAACGATATAGCTTGTAATGGTGTCAATGGTTCTTTTAGCTGTAATGCATGTTTTAACCAGTCAAGAGAGGAAAAATAAAGTCCAACGCCTGGGATGACCCTTGTTATAGACTAAAAAAATTATTTTTTTGTTATTCTTCTACAATTAGCATATTTATTTAACATGTTAGATATTATTGCATTAGATTACTTACTGGTGTCATACCCCGCCATAGTCCAAATACATTTTCTTTTTTTATTATATATACAACTGTTTTAAGCATTCCATTTTTTGTTGGTCTGTAAGTAGTTTATGCATCATAAATTTTTAGCTAATAAAAATTTATTTGATTTATTATCTTATTAGTTACTTACTCAACATGAGTATTAACTCTGCTTTGTAATCTAGTTTTGATTAAATCCAATGGTTGAAATAAGATTGTTGAAAAAGTACCAGAGAATGAACCAGCAAGAAAAGACTTCAATATAGGATACTGCAAAAATAAATTTTCTTAAAATTATTTTTTTTCTCTCATAGTTATTATTAACTAGTTAATGCGCAGACACTTATATCAATCGGAAAATTAATTACTCAAGTTCATTGTGTAATATAATACACAATTACACAAATATTGTAGCTATTAATTATTATCATTTAAATTTATGTCTCTCACGTGATAATCTCGCACGAGTTCCCTCACGTGAGTAGTAATCTCATTCGAAAGGTCAATACAATTATTATCTTTATAATGTAAGTTCTAGAGGTCATCTTTTAAAAAAATTGTTATACTTTTGCCAAGGTAAACATTCATAAACTTATCAATAAAAAAAACTGTAATAAACTTTGATACACTTTTTATCGGATGATGCACCAATTATTAGGTTTACAAATAAGATGATTAAATTATTGCGTATCCTATTATTGTTGGTAACATTTGGATGTGTTACAATTACTTATATTAGTATACTATCTTGATATTACATTATTATTTTGAAATAAATTGTTTATTACTTGAAAAATAATCAAAGAATACATTAATCGCATGATTTTCATTTCGACATACATCGGATGATAGTAGAGGATATACTTTCAAATATTAAACATGTTCAATAACATGAATTTTGTTTTTAATATATAAAAGAATATATAAAATACTTTATTATAATAAAAATTCACTTATACGTTTGAAACTTACATACAATTTCATGTATTGTATTGCATGAATGTTGACAAAGATATTTGGTACAAATTTCAAGTAAAATATAAAAAAAATAATTTTGTAAATAATTATTAAAAAATAAAACAATTTTCCATTGCATATTTAAATACAAAAAAGAAATACTTTTACAATCGTAAAGGTTTTACGTATACCTTTTATATTATTTTATTATAAAAAAAAATAATTTATATAAAAAAAGAATTGGGTACATTTTATTCTTAATAGAAATGCAATGAATTTAAAAAATAATAATACTTACAGTTACTACAGCCTCCATTATTTTTTTTGTAAACGATTGGAAGCTTGTGGAATATAAAGTAAAATGATCACTGCAGTCTAACTCTTGTTATGCGTTAAAGAAATAAAATAAAACCATTCTTAACTGTCTCGTGCCGCTAAAGATTCTGAAGTCATTGAAGGGGTGACGGATACTTACTTCCTTGCTTATCTGAGCTTCTCTGCTCTCCAGGTCAATAGAATGACCCTCCATATCAAAGTGCTGTCATAAATAAAAATTGTAGAGAAACGTGATTTAAACGTGACTTAGTAATGAGTCTTAACGAAGTTCATTATACGTTCTTAAGTCTAAAGTTTTTTTTGCTGTTTATTTTTGATGCATCCAATTGTAAGTGACTATAAGTATTGGCGTAATATTAATTTTGGTAATTTCATTGAATATGTTAATTATTTATTGCGAGAGGTTAAATTTCGCAATGGAAAATAATTTGCAAGTCAATAGTTATTTAAAATTACAATGCGACACAACAAAATATTTGTGTGTTTGTGCAAACAGATAATGTTATTTTCCATGGAAAAAGATGTAATTTTCACAATATATTTCGAAAGTTAGATAGAATTGTTGTGAAATCTTAATGACTTATGTAAAACACGTATTTGTCGGTTAATAACAATAAAAGAAAAAGACTTTAACTTTTACGTCAATTTAAAATTTGATAACAATAGATAACCTACTAAACGGAAATTGTGCATATGTTATATACGTATCATTACGATAAGACAAAATAAACAATCATATTCACGAAATCTGATTATAGATTAGGTTATCTTTACATTTGGTAATGTAAATTTGTTATTTACCTTGATATTTTTGATATTTTTGAATTGAAATTACTTACGCATTTTTAAATAACTTTCATTTTTAATTTTTTATATTTTTCATTTATCCAAAATACATTGTGAAATGTTTCCTTTTCTAAATACATGTTTTGATTATTTTTGTCCGCCCTATCACGTGGATTCCATTTTAAAAGTAATGGACGAAGTTTTATTTTATTGTTTTTAAACTAAAATCACAGGTTTGTACATTTTGCATTGTATTATTTATTTATTTATACTCGTGATATAATATTCACGATAATATTTCAAATTAAAATATTTCTTATTTTTTAATTTATTGAATTTATACATATTTTTAGGTATACTTAATAATAAAGTAATATTTTGCATGATGCAAACAATAAAAGAATGAACGTAAGAAATGTTTATTAAAATTTATTAAGGCCTTATATACGTTTAGAATTTTCAAAATATTGTCTTTTTTTAACAGATTGTTATTCTCTATAGTTTTAGGCTTATTTCTGTGAAAGTTGATTGTAAAAATTCCCCATAGATCTAAAATTGTGGTAGAAAATGTGACTGCCCGATGAGATTTGGTACGCACAGGTAGTTGTCTTTTGTTTGAGATGGCTGATTGTTACTTTCGGAGTGACTCCAGTTTGTCAGTTCTTTGTTATTGCAAAATATACCGTTTTTGTTTTGTTTGTAAAGCATTATAAGAATATATTTAGGGTCGATTGTTAAAGTTTCTGAAGTTGAACATTAGTTGTCCTTGATCTTTCGAAGCGTACAGTTATGTGCTTTATTTCAGATTTTAAAAATGTTGAAATGTCGCGCTGTATAGATTATAAAGGCAGTAAGAATGAACGATCTTAACGTCCTAAAAAGAAGATGCCTCCTCAAAGGCCAGACAAGATGGAGAGTGAAACTGAATACACTAGTTCAGCTGCAAAAAAATTAGCGGGACAATTACGTAAGATATCATTCGATCCAACGTTCTCAGACTGTATTTTACAGTTTACTGGACTACCCATGGACTTGGTTTCAAGTTAAATGTTTTTTGTACAACGTGTGACGCATTTAAAACTTTAAACGCGTTTTTAATATTTTTTTATGCGATTTTTTTTTTAAATATTCGAAATCGTTTTTTCTATATTTAGTAATTTATGTAAAAATAGAGTGAAATAAAATTTTTTATAAAGTTTAAATACCAATAAACAATGTATACTATTTATTTTTATTAATTTCTATTGTTGTCGCTATACTACAAACATTTTTTTCTTTTAGTGCATTTTTGGCGCTGCTAGACGTACATAAAAACGTATTAAATTGTAACTTTGCAGTGTTTTCAAAAATGATCGCTAGGAAGCGTTGTAATAGCTTTGAATCATTCGTGATTGGCTAACTTTATAACACGTGATCATTGGTCGGTTGGAAATCATTTCCGGTCTTTGTAGACTCGGTCATTTCTATCGACATCTTAATACAGTTTGGTCGTTGCTTCAAGCGGAGTCTGAGGTGAGATAATTTTAACAAATATTTTATTACTAAATGTTTTACAATTATTATTAATATTTGCTCGTTTACTATTATTTAATAAGGTCATATCATTTTAGAAGAAATTATGTATTTTTTGTCTTTAATTTTGTCTTTGAAAAATGTATCGAAAACGTGATCGCCATTTTGATTGTTCCACGTTTTTTTCCCTTGCATATTTTTGCTCGAGTTAACATTTGGTTTTACTAATATTAGTTTTTTATTTTCCCATTTAGTAGCGATATAATAAATAAAAAAAATAAGAATATGGTGAATAGATAAATTCTCTATCATTGTACGATTTTTTTTCTTGCATATTTTCTTTTGAATTACCACGTGGTCTTAAAACAATATTCAATTTTTATATTTAAAACAAGTAACAATTTAAAAATATAATGAACGGGCGAATTACTTATTCTTATACATTTTATCTTACATATTTTTGTTCGAATGAGCACATGGTTTTATAAATATCTGTTTCTTTTTATATTAGGTAACGATCTAACAAAATGGTTAACGGACGAATTCCATCGGTCTTCTCAAAGACCTACGTAACACCTAGGCGTCCTTATGAAAAGGCACGTTTAGATCAAGAGTTAAGAATTATCGGTGAATATGGTCTTCGTAACAAACGTGAGGTATGGAGAGTCAAGTACACTTTGGCTAAAATTCGTAAAGCTGCTCGAGAACTTCTTACGCTCGAAGAAAAAGATCCTAAACGTCTCTTCGAAGGTATATATTTTTCTTTTTATTTAACTTTATTAAATATTTAGGATATACAATTTGTAGAAATTATGGAATTTATATTAAGTAGAACTTGAGTAAATTTATATTCAAGGATTATATGATGAAATAATTACTTATTTTCTGACACCTCTTGACCTAACAATTTTGAGGAGTAATATTATATTCTGAAAAATTAGGAATACAAATGTATGTTTAATAAATGTTCAAATTTTATTTGTTTCTAAATAATGTGATATGATTTTAGGTAACGCATTGTTGCGACGTTTAGTAAGAATCGGTGTGTTGGATGAGGGTCACATGAAACTCGATTACGTTCTTGGCTTGAAAATCGAAGATTTTTTGGAAAGACGTCTTCAAACTCAAGTATTTAAATTGGGTCTTGCTAAGTCGATTCATCATGCTAGAGTTTTGATTCGTCAACGCCACATTCGGTGAGTTTATTCATCCATAAAAATAAATAATTATTTATATAATAGAATTATTTGTAGCCTTAAATTTTGGGCAAGAAATATCTGATTACATGCGGATCATTTCTAATCATTTAAGGCGAGATTAAAAGCCTGGTTAATCTCTGGGCAAGAATTATTTTTTGTTCAGTTTCAACCCAGGAGACAAAACAATCACTTTTGTCTCAATCTACGATTACTGAAGCGCCCTATTAAAATATCTTTTTGCGTATCTCGTTCATGTTTATAAGAACAATCCGTGTGATATATTCTATAACAGAAGATTTTTGCTACTACAGATGCCAGGACAGTTTACCTGGTTGATCAACTGATTTGACCATTTATCTTAAAACTTGACTTCAATCGAATGGAATTAAAAAATATTTGAAGCTACTTTATTTCACACAGGCCACTTAAACGTTAATGTTTAATTAACGTTTAACGTCTGTTGATATTGGAGCATTCGTCATCCTTATTCGGTATTTAAATTTAACAATTTCGAGACATTTAGCAAATAAATCCATTCCTTGAGTATAGTGATCCCAAAATAGTTTATTTGGAGATAGATGGATTCGACTGACGGTATATCGTTTCAGGGTGCGTAAACAGGTGGTGAACATCCCATCTTTCATTGTGCGATTAGATTCGCAAAAGCATATTGACTTCTCTCTGAAGTCACCGTTCGGAAGTGGCAGACCTGGTCGTGTAAAGAGGAAGAACTTGCGTAAGGGCTCTGGTGGTGCTGCCCCTGAGGAAGAAGAAGATTAAGTAAAAAATGTGATTGAATAAAAAATATCATCTAATATTATACATCGTTCAAATGTTTAGTTCAAGAATTCTTTTGGGATTTTCATTTCCTGATTAGCGTTGTACAATTTCCTTATTCCATGCAGTAACCAAGCGAAGCTTTTCCTCTATAGTAGTTTCACCTAATCTAAAATCCATTGGTATTGTCGAATCAATTAAAATACTTTTTCTTAGTGTTTATACCTAATCCAAAACTCATAGATGTTGTACTCCAATTAGTTTTCCTTTGATTTTTAATTTACCTCGTAGAAAAAGTTTGCGATTATTTATTCTCCTTTGTAATTTATTTCCAATAGTTTCGTAAATTTGATATTCCCAATTTATCCTTTCCACTCTCCACGGTATTTTTTCTTCTTTGTATTTATTTTAACAGGATAAGTTATTACTCAATACGAGAAAAACTTGTCTGATTGTAATTCATGCGTAAAACAACATCGTACGTTAAATTTAAATGAAATTCACGTATCCAACGAAAGACTGATTTGTAGTCGTACGTTTATTTCGTTCTCTTTATTTTTAGTAGAATCGTAAGTCTCGCATTTTGCGAGCTTCGTAAAGAAGTTAAAATACAAGCTAAGCAAGGTCACGTATATCTACATACGTTACAGGAATAAAAAGTATGGAGGATAGTTAGCTGCAACGATTGGTAAAAGGAGAAAGGGGAATCGTGGTCTCTCTTGTTAGTGAGATCAAGCAGTTTAAATAGCGGTTTACTGTTCGTGAGCAAATACAGGATGTCTGGAGATAAGTGTTTGCTGGTTAATGGTCGCCAATTTATATTAGATAGTACAAAATTTACTAATCGAATCTTTTTTTTCTAACTTAATATCTGATAATCGTAGTAAAAATAAAATAGAAATTTTTGTAATGTATAAGAGTTAGTTAAGTTTACTGTTATCCAATAACCGGTATAGTACGATTATATGTATATTGGGTTGTTCGATAAAATTCGTATTGATTTATAATTAGGTTTATATTTTTTTATTCATAAATTTAAATTATGTTTACCTTATTATATATTAATACTTTTACTATATATTATTAATACAAAAAATTTAGTTTATAATAGTGCAATCAAGAAGAGATAATTTCAAGTGATAATTATCTTAACAATGTTAGCTACATGTTTTATTTTTTTATATCAATTAATTTTTTGGGCAACCATACATGGCCAACAAATAATAAATAATACATCTATTTAAAAAAAAATAAGAAGTAAAAATACATACACAATGTTTATAAATCGGCTTGAACTTTTCCGAGTAACCCAGTATGTGCTCCAATATACAAGGTGTCCTATATAAATTTGACTAACGAGCAATTATATCAGCGATAAGACGTGGTTGAGGGATAAATTTAATAGGACAACGATTTCGAATTGATAGAAGAGGAGGAGGAATAAAGAGGGGTAGGGAGGTTTCTCTCGCGAGTAAATAATTTCGAAGACACGAAGTTTTTGAAAGTTTATGGCAGTGAAGATATTCATGGAATATTCATGCGAAGAAATTACCACCGAATAGACTTAAAGCTTCTTCTGTAGTTCGTACCAAGTTTATTGCACTTCATATATACATTTTGGCATGCATAGGTAAGAAAGAAAAAAAGGGACAGGCTTGTTGACATGGTCTAGCTTATGAAAGAGAGTATGATGATGCATTAAAGATGAACGATTGGGAGAGGAGAATGCTTCTTGACCGACTTCGAGTAGCATCGAGAAGTAAAAATTGTTGAGAGTTTTCCATGGTGTATCGTGTGTCTTGTGCTAAGTCTTTTCTTTATTGTTTGAACATATTCTTTTTCTTTTTTTTTTTTTAGACGTAATTAATCCGAGATAATTAAAATTAGTAAAGCTAATAACGTTCGTTGATTAATTAAAGCGATAACGTTTGTTCAAAGCAAGAGGTAAACAAGGATAATTAATATAAAATAAATAAAAGTACAATTTATATGTATATTCTAAAAAAATATCTTTACACAAAAGATTTTCAACTGTTAATCATTAGACTTGATTTTCCCGTCTTCCTCTGAAGGTTCTCCTACGAGTATTCAAATATTTGTTCGAGTTTTTTTTTCTTTTTTTATTTTTTTAAGAGTGCAAGTTAGTGGTGTTCCTTAAGAGCAAAGGAGCTTTTGCGAGTAAAATAATTTAATGAGTTAGATTAGATAGGAAGTTAGATAGAAACAATTTTAATATCGACAAAAATTATTATCTCAAAAGTATCAACAATGTTTTTTTTCGATTATAAAATAAAAAAACAATAATTAAATATAGTATTTAGATTTATCGTTTAAAAAATATTCGTTTTCTCTTCGCGTGTTGTATATTATATTAATAAATTTATTTTTCAGCACGTGTATATTGAAATGTGCGTTAACGAATGAATTAGAACGTTAACAATGTTGGTGTTTAGAATATAAGCACCGTGTGATAATTCGAAATCACGAATGACACTCGACAATACTCATTTTCTCTCTCTCTCTCGTATTTTAATAAGATTCGCATAACTTTCATCCCCACTCTTTAATTCTAAGCTAGTGTCAGGTTGGCCGTTAAGAAAGAGAGGCTGTACATTCCGTGTTGGTTGCGCAACTTACTTATGGTATGCACCTCGTCGTAATCCTAATATACCGACTCAGATGTACATATTTTCATTAGAACAAGAGTAAGATACGTGTTAAATTCGGAGTTACTTATTTAGACCAACACGTGAAGAGTCTAATTTAAATCCTTTATCTTCTTAACTATCTAATTAAGTTTCCAAGTTGTTTTCATTATTTTTTTTTTTTTATTTAAAAAGTAAAACAAACGTACATAATAATCTTATTGTCAATCTTATCGCGTTACGATAATCAAATGTTTATTTACTATATTATTTATTAATTTTTATTCTCTCATTACATAATAATGATGAATTTTAATCATTTATTTAGGAATAAAAAATCAAGGTATCATTTGACGATTGTATTAGGTCGAGTAAAAATAGTTTTGTTTGATAATTTAATGCTGAAATTAAAAATGTTTTTGTTCATATTTTGTATCGTACCTTATGCAAATGATTTCAAATTGTTTTCTATACGATTTTTAATACATTAACGATATAATCATTGTTAATATACTAGACTTGTTCAATTTCGTTCATCATTTAATCGATGTTTCCAGTAATCTTGTTGAGATGCACTTTTGACTTCAACATTTTCAGATCGAAAATTTTCGAAACTATTTTCCCAAATTCAAAAGTTATTTGTTATAAAAATACGAAAAATAACTTTTGACTCTACCGAATACTACTATTACTTCAACACGTGGAAAATTGAAATAAAACGAGTATTGGAGATTTTGTTTTTAGGACACCTGGTAGGTAGATTTCATACGCAAACGACAAAGTTCAAACGAAGAACTGTTATCGATGATACTCTCGGACCAACAACGTTGCCTAGAAAATCAATCGGTACGTTCGTTTATCGATCACGTTGACCAATTACAACACAACATATGTGTATGTAAAATATGTTTCAATATGTTACGTTTTATTGGTTCAATTTAACGATCTCTCTGGAGCCTAGTCGAATATATTCTGTATCAAAATGAGAGAGAGAGAGAGAGAGAGAGAGAGAGAGAGAGAGTTTATCATTTTCAAACTTATTTAATGTTCAATGTTTCACGTGTTGAAATATTTAATATTATTTAAATGTTACATCTGTATTCCACGAGGGAAGAATGCAACTCACATTGTTGTTGTTGTTGATTATTATTATTATTATTATTTAGGGAATAGCATAGCTTATACGAAATATTCTCGAAGTTAATTAATTTGTTAAAATAATTTAATTAATTATTAAGTAGCATAGTGTGTTCTTAAAATTCTTCTTCTTTTTTCTTCGCCGTTTCTACTCAGTTTTCTCATCGAGAGAGTTTGTTTTTTTTTTGTTTTTTTCAGTCGAGAGCCACGTTCTCTTGGCATTTCTTCCAGCTCAGGGTGCGCCAACTCGTGTACGCGTGTCCTGAAAGAAAGAAAGAAAGAAAGAAAGAAAGATGGAAAGAAAAAGGGAAAGAAAGAGAGAGAGAGAGAGAGAAAAGACACTAGCAAATAATACGCAAATTCAATGGCGTAGCAAAGTTCGAACGTTTAATAAAAATAATATTCGTCGAACGCGTTTAATTATATACATTTGAAATGATATCACTTATTATGAATAAAGTTGAATGATCACAGAATTTATTATTAGATAACTTAATTAATTATATAATTTTAATAAACAAAATTATCAAAATTATATTACTTCGTTATTTTTAACAATGTTCAAAGTAAAAGAAAATAAAATAGAAAGAAATAAATGATTCAATTTATTATCCAATAAACAGCACGGACAACTTTTTTTTTATATAATTTATCAATGTGTGTTGAATTTAATTATTAAAGAAAAAAAAACATATATATTTCCAATATATAAAAATAGAATCATATCGATCAAATATTTTGGCACAAAAATATGAACCCTTCCCCCTTCCCCCTCCCCCCCAATAATTTGTAAAAGCAGGGGGGTATCTTAAAAACGATTCATGTATTAGAATAATTTAAGATATCAAAAGAAATAGACAGAGTGAGATACAGCGTGGAGGAGGAAGGGGGAAAGGATAATAGAAAATGTCGATCGTCTTTTCTCCAAGGATTCGTCCTTGCGGTTTTATCTGATCACACGAGGGGATGAAAGTGAATACGCCACAGGGAAGAAGAAGAAGAAGAAGAAGAAGAAGAAGAAGAAGAAGAAGAAGAAGAAGAAGAAGAAGAAGAAGAAGAAGACGAAGAAGAAGAGGGAAAAGGGATAAGCATAATTGTTTCGCTCTTACAATCGTATCGCTTTCTTCCTATGAACATTCAAGTAGGTTACGCCAATGGTTAAAGAAAAAGAGAAAGAAAGAGAGAGAGAGAGAGAGAGAGATAGATTAGAATTAGATAAAGAGAAGGATAGGGGATTTATAGTCACGGTTACATACAAAGGAACACGTGCGTGGATAGATAACAGCTAT